AGGCTTGCTTTACACCTTATAATTTGTTTTGCATTTTGATGTGCTCATTACATTGCTGGTTCATTTATGTATTCCCAGGTATATATGTTGCATACTGACCATTGTGAGTAAGCAGACAAATGTTCTTCCAAACTAAATATCAATTTAATATTCTTCTGGTCAGATAATTTATACAGGTATATATTGTTGGCAGTTTATTTTCTTACGTTAACTTTATGGCTAGCATGTTAAGCTTTACACAAAGGCTCAGGCTTTCGCATATAATTCAGTATCTTTGTTTCAAAATTTTAGGCATGCAAGTCAGTCCTTTCATGGTTTTCCAGGAACTATATCCAGTATTGCAATTACAACACTTTATTCAGGTTATGGTTCTTTGCCGTTTAACTTGCAGTTGCCCATTTTTCAAATACTGGGTTGCCTGTTACATAGGGACAGTTTTTCTTGATCTAACATATAACGCCATGATTATGTATCCCTACTCCCCTTTTATAATTGAAAGACAGGGGGATTGGCAATATAGTTGACCCTCGCTTGGTCCTCCATATGGATACGTTGCATTAAAACTTTCTTACTTCAGCATCCATGACTTATGCATCTATTTAATTCTCTCATTCTTTATAGTGTTGAAGTTATCTGTAGACATGTGAAATTAGTTTCGGTCCGAATATGAATTCGGACGAATTTTGGGAAATTCGGACATTCGGGTGCTTTCGAATTGCAGAATTGCCGAATTGCGAGGTCCTGAAGTTCCGTAATTACCGAATTTCCAAAGTGTCGAAGTGTCAAAGTGCCAAAGTTCCAAAGCACAGTATTAGTACTAATATACTGACCCAGTGAAAAAAGAAGAATGTTACATTGTACACAATTTTAAATAAAAAAGTATACAAACATAGCCAGGATTCAGCTGTAAGCATTTGTAACACTTACAGCAATCAAGTAACATACATTCATATAAAATGTAAGTTACTTAGCCAGTCAATGTAATGACAGGAATGAATAAGTAGATAACTCCCTAATTCCCACGATATTAGGGAGCTATCTACTAAAAGGCTGAAAGACCTTAATTGGTCTTTCAGACAAATTTACTAATACTAAGTAAAGATTACTTAGTATTAGTACATTATGCTATACCGCGAGTAGGGGCATGTCTATTAAACAGTGAGCAGCCTGTGGCTGCTCACTGTTTAAAAAAATAAAGAAAACCCTCCATATTGTCAGGCGTAGGAAACCTCCATAAGACAAATAGTCCCTACTTTGTCTTATGATTTTAAAGAAAACTAGAGCAGACAGGAAGAAATGAAGAACAGATCCTGACAGAGGGAGAGAAGAGGAATCGCTTTAATCATGCAATTTTATACAGTGATATTAAATAAGATAGAACGACGTTGTCAACATATTACATAATATACGTTCACATTAACATAAACATCATATTAGTACAAATGTCAGTCTATAGAAGTATAAAATCTCATGCTTGTAACATACAAAAACATATTACTGTGGATGACAATCTATATAACTGCTTGTATATCACGCTTGTGACACAATCAAGTGTCAACACAACCATAAAAGGCTACTCCTGGCAATACGCTCTCTTAGTCACGATTCATGTCTTTTAATACCTACAATATGCACTCCTTACAATTAAACATTGACCATAATCATATGTACAACATGAGATATATATATTATTCCATACATTATATAACTATCCATACATAGCAATAGAATTCAAATTAATGTTTATGTTAATGTGAGCATATATTGTGTAATATGTTGACAACGTCGTGCTATCTTATTTAATATCACGGTATAAAATTGCATGATTAAAGTAAGGTTACTCATGATATGTTATATATATATATCCTATTGCGATAGTTTATTTTTTGTTATTCATTTTAATTATACCCAAATTGGAAGCGGAATTGCGCCGCAGGAACATCCCCTTCCCGGCTACAGGGACGTCCCAGAACTATACAGGCTCCTGTCCACGCAGTCCTATCACCCCAGACCCGGCACAAAATTCCTGGATGGCAGTAATGACAACACGGGGGATGTTCAGGGTACTTTGAACAGCATCCTGGTTTTCCTACCTCGGTGGCCTCGGACCTTCCAGCTCCAAACACTGCTATCACGATCACGGAATATAGTGCAGGCACATGTCCTACACCCCCTACCACACCGCAAGTCATTAACCCAGCAAATCTGGTTCCCACAGCCATCAGGAAAGATATACTTGATGGCAAAGACGTAATTTGGTGTCCCTATTAATAGCCTCGCAGGATGTAATTGAGAACAGGGCCTACAGCTATATGGATCTGTCTGTGGTCCTAAAAGCCAGGAACCCTAGACTGAATAAAAAACTTTTGATCCCCAAGTTTGTATTTGTCTTTGGGCTGTACAGGGACGTTATCTGTATACCCCAAGAGGTGGGAGGAGCTCGATCTCTACATGCACAAGTTGGTGGATTTGGGACACAAGTATGAGGGCTTTATGTTTTACGATTACCCTAAGTCGTTGTCTTGGCTAAGCCGTTACGGTAACCAAGGTGATGCACAGTTATTGTTGGACGGGTTTTCAAATGGGTTTGGTATTCCTTTTAAGAAAAAGGTTTTGTGTATTCTTTTTAAGAAAAAGGTTGATTGTGTGACAACTTGAAGTCGGTCCAGAGAATCCGGAGGTGGTTCGAGATAAATTGGCTAAAGAGGTTCAGCTGGGTAGGATGGCGGGGCCGTTCTCACAACCTCCATTGGCAGACTTTCGGATTTCACCTTTGGGCGTGGTGCCTAAAAAAGAACTGGGTAAGTTCCGCCTGATCCATCATTTGTCATATCCGAAAGGTTCTTCGGTGAATGATGACATTGATGCTGCCCTGTGTTCTGTCTCCTACGCTTCATTTGAACAGGCAGTTGAGTTGGTTCAGAAGGCAGGACGCAGGGCATTGACAATGAGGGCTGATGTAGAGTCGGCTTTTCAATTACTGCCAATCCATCCAGATTGTTACCAACTGTTAGGTTGCATGTTCGATGGGGCTTATTTTGTGGACCTTTGCTTGCCTATGGGCTGCTCCATTTCATGTTCCTACTTCAGTAACAGGAATCTGTTACTCTTTGGGAAATCAAGTAAGCCCAGATTTAATAACGCCATAATTGGGTCTGGTTTAATTTTTTTTTTCTATTACCATAGAGATAAAATCAAATATTTTAATCTATAGTGATTCTATGTTTTTACAGTTTCACCATAAATGCACAAATGTTCCCATTTCTGGATGGCCTCTCCAGCATACTGGATTTCCCTTTGGGTAAAAAAAAAGTTTTTTTGACTAGGAGTCATACATCATCTATACAGTAAATTTAGGTAGGTTTCTAGTAGGTTTACACAGTGAAAAGTAGATCTATTATCACCTATCGCTAATTTACGATTCATTGGCTTCTATTTGGATTTTATCCTCACATATTTTTAATGGGTGTTTGAGACTCAAGTGGACTTTTATCTGTTATTTTGTTAAATGATTTATTCCCTTGTGTTTTTTGTACCAATTTGTATGAATTTGACATATGTTTGTATTTGGAGTATGCTGATTCTGAAAATGTAATTTTATGTGAATGTGATGCATACTTTTCAAGTTATGAATAATGTGGAAAAATTGTATTTCTCTGCTTGTTATAATTACATTACCCATTGTGTAAGGTAATTGAATCACAGGCAGAGGGGAGGATTTTGTGTGGGAGTGTCTGAGTGTATTGTATGTTTTATTGGTTGTGTTCCAAAACCCTGTGGGTGGTACTAATGTGTAAGAATGTGTACATAAGCACAATAAACCCACAGCTCTGGCTGACCACTGCTTGACCCTCAACCCGGAGCTTTGTCTTGTCCTTGGGGGGATTTATTGTATGCTGTTCCAGTTTGACTGCTAGGAGTGTAAACCTATTTGTATGTTTTTTCCTATTTGGCTGTTTACAGCATTCATATGGTTTCCTGTTCGGTGGATTGGTGTTCTGCAGTAGATGTGCCTGTGTCTCTGGAAGGGAAGATCTTCTAAACTGCGGTTTAACCCTTTTATGCTGAGGGTCCGTTACAAATGGTGGCAAGCGGCGGGATCGTTCCTACAGCCAGAAGGACAGCTACAGGAGACACCATTTCTTTGGATTTTACAATTTGAGGGCAACGCATGTCCCAGTACAGCGACCCTGACAGCACCAGGATGGAACCAGCAGTGGAGTACGATGAGGGTGTCATGGATGACCGAGATGCAGTTCGCAAAGACATCTGGTACCAGGCACTGGGCATTGTGGAGTACCAGCGGGGCGAGAGACTCCCCAAGGAAGACCAGCGATTGCAGAAGCGACTAGCCCTGCGGATTCCCTTCCTCGGAGAGCAGCCCCTGGATGAATGGGTGAAGGAATTAGAGCTCGGGGTATGGCAGGAGATGTGGCTGGAAGATGCCTACCAGGTGCTCTGGTGGTATGGGGCACAGTACCTGCCCTGGACAGCTGAGCATGACAAGCCAGAGGGAGAGGAGTTTGATGGTCCTGGCTTGTTATGGGAGGTTTTTTCAGAGCCTGAGTTTGGGAGCCCTACACAAGCCCGGTTCAGTGATCTCTTGGAGTGGAGGGAGAGCAGGTATGACTGGGACGACACTCATGAGATTGAGCAAGACCTGGTCCACCTAGTGACCCGAGAGATGGAGCTGGAGCAGGGCTACCAAGATCTGTTCCACTCCAGTGAGAAGGCTCAGCAGGGAATCGGAGACCCAGATCCAGACCCATTCAGCTGGGTAGATATTGCGGAGTATTACTGGGAAGAACCCCAGGTGGCTGGTGGAGATGGGACCGAGGTCTCTCCACCAGTCCTGCAGGGAATTGGGAGCCCAGTCTCCATTCCCCAGCGGGAGATATTGCAGGGAATTGGGAGCCCAAGGAGCTTCCTGCTCTCCATTGTCATAATCATTTCTAGGCGCCCAGTGCACAATATTTTCTAATCCTTTTCTCCTCTGCAAACAACCATCTGTGTGTCTCCACCTGTGCAAAATCCAATCGGTGTCTCTTCTCTTTTGCAAATTCCGATTTGTGTCTCTTCTCTTGTGCAAACCTCATTTGTGTCTCTCCACCTGTCCAAACCCATATCTGTTTCCCTACACCTATCCAAACCCCCATCTGTGTCTCTTTACCTGTCCAAAATACCATCTGTGTCTCTCCAACTGTGCAAACATAATCTGTGTTTTTCCTTCTATTCAAACACCTCCAGTCCACCATCTATATCTCTCTTCCTATGCAATCCCCCATCTGTGTCTCTCCTTTTGTCCAAACCTCCATCTGTGAATCTCCTCTTCTGCTAACCCCCATCTCTGTCTTTCAACTTGTCCAAACCGATGTCTGTGTCTCTCCACCTATCCAAACCCTCATATGTGTCTCTCAACCTGTCCAAAACACCATCTCTATCTCTTCAACTGTTCAAACATAATCTGTGTCACTACTCCAGTCCAAACTGCCATCTATGTCTCTCCTCCTATGCAATCTCGCATTTGTGTCTCTCCTTCTGTCCATACCCCCATCTGTGACTCTCCTCCTGTACACAATATTTTCTTATCCTTTCCTCCTCTGTTACCCTCATCTCTGTCTGTCCTTTTGGTTACCCCATTTTGTGTCTCTCCTGTGCAAACCTTATCCGTGCCTCTCCTCTGTCCAACCCCCATCTTTGTCTCTCCTCCTGTCCAAATTCCCATCTATGTCTACCCTCCAATGCAAACCCCTCTCTTTACCTCTCTACCTATCCAAACCCATCTGTGTCTCTCCACGATATAACACCATCTGTGTTTCTCCTCCTGTTAATCCTATCTGCATCTCTCTACCTGTTAAACCAATCTCTGTTTCTCCTCCAGTTAGGCCTTATCTGTATCTCTTCATCTAATAACCCCCTCTGTGTCTCTTCTCCTGACCAAATCCCAATATGTGTCTCCCCACCTGTTCACACATCTGTGTCTCTCTTCCTATTAACCCGGATCTGTGTCTTTCCTCCTGTTAACCCCCATCTGTGTCTCTCCATCTTTTAACCCCATATACAGCTCTCCTTTTTTTAACCCCCATATGTGTCCCTCTTTCAGTTAATCCACAATCTGTTTTCGTCTCCTGTTATCCTCCAAACTTTGTTTCTCCTCCTGTCCAACCCCCATCTGTGTCTCTCCTCCTATTAACCCCCATCTGTGTCTTTCCTCCTGTTAACTCTCAATTTGTGTCACTCTTCTTGCCCAATCCCCCATCTGTGTCTCTCCTTGTCTCCCAGTGTTTCTCCTTGCAGCCTGTCCTCTCACTTGTCTTCCCCCATCCTTCCCGCAACAAATGAAAGAGCATCAGAATTCATCTATATATTGCCAATCACCACCACTGGTTGCTGCTCAAGCTCGTGCTTCCTCATTAGCTCAAGCAGCACAGAGAGGATGCCCTGCTGGGCACTCTTGTTTAGCATTAAACCATTAAAAATGGATTGACACTAAAACGATTGGCACCAGGGGACACCAGATACTATAACCATTTTAAAAGGATGAAGCAGTTTCATACCTACAGTTTCCCTCAATGTACCACCCACAGACCAGTGCTGCCGACATGCTGGAAAAGTGTAACTTTATAAACTTCTCAAGCAATAAATATTTAATTTAGGTTTATAACATATCACTTGCTTTAGAAATCAGCAGCATTGCAGGAGTTAACGCGAACTGGCCTCATTTACTTAATTCAGATCTTGTAGGTAACAGTCATGGAGTGTTTTGAAACATGTTGTAGTGATCGATGTCAATGTCTTGCATATACCGTTGCAAGAAAAAAGTATGTGAACCCTTTGGAATGATATGGATACGGATATGGATCATTATGTAAGTCACAACAATAGACAATCACAGTCTGCTTAAACTAATCACAAACAAAGAATTCAATGTTGCCATGTTTTTATTGAACACACCATGTAAACATTCACAGTGCAGGTGGAAAAAGTATGTGAACCCTTGCATTTAACCCCTTAAGGACACATGACGTGTGACATGTCATGATTCCCTTTTATTCCAGAAGTTTGGTCCTTAAGGGGTTAATAATTGGTTGAACCTCCTTTGGCAGCAATAACTTCAACCAAACGTTTCCTGTAGTTGCAGGTCAGACGTGCACAACGGTCAGGAGTAATTCTTGACCATTCCTCTTTACAGAACTGCTTCAGTTCAGCAATATTCTTGGGATGTCTGGTGTGAATCGCTTTCTTGAGGTCATGCCACAGCATCTCAATCGGGTTGAGGTCAGGACTCTGACTGGGCCACTTCAGAAGGCGTATTTTCTTCTGTTTAAGCCATTCTGTTGTTGATTTACTTCTATGCTTTGGGTCATTGTCCTGTTGTAACACCAATCCGTCCAGGCCCTGACGCAGCAAAGCAGCCCCAAACCATGATGCCCCCATCAACATACTTCACAGTTGGGATGAGGTTTTGATGTTGGTGTGCTGTGTCTTTTTTTCTCCACACATAGTGTTGTGTGTTTCTTCCAAACAGCTCAACTTTGGTTTCATCTGTCCACAGAATATTTTTCTAGTACTGCTATGGAACATCCAGGTGCTCTTGTGCAAACTGTAAATGAGCAGCAATGTTTTGTTTGGACAGCAGTGGCTTCCTCTGTGGTATCCTCCCATGAAATCCATTATTGTTTAGTGTTTTACGCATTGTAGATTCGCTGACAGGGATGTTAGCATTTGCCTGTGACTTTTGTAAGTCTTTAGCTGACACTCTAGAATTCTTCTTCACCTCATTGAGCAGTCTGCACTGTGCTCTTGCAGCCATCTTTACAGGACGGCCACTCCTAGGGAGAGTAGCAGCAGTACTGAACTTTCTCCATTAATAGACAATTTGTCTTACCGTGGACTGATGAACAGCAAGGCTTTTGGAGATACTTTTATAACCCTTTCCAGCTTTATGCGAGTCAACAATTCTTAATCGTAGGTCTTCTGAGAGCTCTTTTGTGTGAGGCATCATTCACATCAGGCAATGCTTCTTGTGAAAAGCAAACCCAGAACTGGTGTGTGTTTTTTATAGGGCAGCTGTAACCAACACCTCCAATCTCTTCTCATTGATTGGACTCCAGTTGGCTGACATGTCACTCCAATTCGCTCTTGGAGATGTCATTAGTTGAGATGTCGTGAACCGTCCGCGAACTTCTCGCGAACGGTTCGCCACTGTTCGCCACGAGCTGTTCGCGGCGAACTCCGGTCAGCTGACACGTCCCAGCCAATCTCCAGCAGACCCTCCCTGCCAGACCATCCTACTTCCTGGACAGCATCCATGTTGAAAAAGTATGTGTTGAAACATGGATGCTGTCCAGGAAGTAGGAGGGTCTGGGAGGGAGGGTCTGCTGGAGATTGGCCGGGACGTGTCAGCTGACCGGAGTTCGCCGCGAACAGCTCGTGGCGAACAGTGGTGAACCGTTCGCGAGAAGTTCGCGGACGGTTCGTGACATCTCTAGTCATTAGTCTAGGGGTTCACATACTTTTTCCACCTGCACTGTGAATGTTTACGTGGTGTGTTCAATAAAAACATGGCAACATTTCATTCTTTGTGTGTTATTAGTTTAAGCAGACTGTGATTGTCTATTGTTGTGACTTAGATGATGATCAGATCACATTTTATGACCAATTTGTGCAGAAATCCATATCATTCCAAAGGGTTCACATACTTTTTCTTGCAACTGTATAACAACACTACCCAAATCTGTAAACCTGTCTGTTACCATATCATTGTACAGTTTTTTTAGGGCAATAACCTCCATTGGTGGAATTCAGAATTGTATGTATAATAATATTCAAGGGACCTCTGGTGTGGGAACTGGCTATAGGTGGTATTATGCAAATTAGTGTCATTGTCAGTTCACGTAAGGAGCCCTGAAATCTAAAATACTATGCACTTCTTCATTTTTCTGCATAAAATAAAGCCATGGTGGATTATTTTGTGTCTCCCAAATTGTTTATATTTTATGTTGACATGGCAATTATTACCATGAGTTTGATTAGATATTGCCGTGGCTAGTAATTCTATTACAGTTACAGAATTTAATACATATTCTTATATCTTATAATAGCATATGAAAGACTTGCAAATCTAATGCTGTCTAAATTACTTTGTCACAGTTTCTGTCTTTATGCAAAACATGCTACATTAAGTTAATGCAATAGTTTAAAGTTACTCATACAGAAACTTAAAGTTGACAAAAATAGCAAGGATTGCCAAATTCACTGTTTTTCCACATTGAAGTGCCCAAAGAGAACACATTACTATTTCTGTCATATATAAATAGACACCGGATACTGAAAAAAATATTAATTTGTAATACTATTAGTCATAAGTCAAAAGAAACAAATAAATTAGAAAGATTATTTTCCTATTTGTTGCCCCATTTTCATTCACGAATAAAAAAATTAATAAAATTTTTAAAAAATCTGTAGATCCTAAACTAAAAAATGGCCAAAAAACCCCCATATTTTTTCAATTTGATCTTTTATTTAATTTTTCAAAAATACCATATCAAAGGGAAGGGTACAGAAGGCAGAAAAGGTTATGGAGCTCAAGAGTGGTGAATAGAGCACAAAGTGCACTGAATGTACCATACAACGCTGGTAACAGTAACAAACAGTACACATTAGACACAAGTACAAGGAAAAAAAAAACCCTCTATATTTTACAGCATTGTTGTAGAACACACACCATACGCCAAACTAGATTATGTGCTCTGTGCATGCCCTGTATGTTTGTCAGAGGTTCAATTGATATGAATATATCAGTATTTATTCATCTTATTTATACCTGACACATTTTACATTGAATATAGTGCAGTTAGCATTATTTTCTTTGATTTATATATGAATTTAAGACACCTGGAAATCTTTCTGCATTAATTAACACTAACGATATTTTCAAAGAATTATATTCTCTCTCTCATTATTATTACAGAACACATGAATATACTATCAAGTGAGGCAATGAAAACAAAACGACTTGCAGTTCCCCTTTAAAGATTACTACAGCTGTTGTCCTACAAAAATTAAAGAGGAAATTGCTTCACGAAACTGAGAAGTATTTCAATGTGTAACCAGTTAAGCAAGTCCAGGAATGTGTTAAATGCGCAGAATAGACCTTTCATGTCAAATAATCTCTACAGTTCAAGACACTGTAGTTTTCTATGATTTTATTCATACTTAACATTGTGTTAGGTAAACATGTAGTACAGGGGTTGACAACCTTCGGCACTCCAGATGTTATGGACTACTTCTTTTTTAGTCCACAAATCTGGAGTGCCCTGTTATATGATATTAAAATAAAGCCATTATTGTTAAAATAAAGCCATATCATTATTAAAGTGATATACTTTATGTTTGGGTGGAGGGAGAATATTTTCTATAAATATATATTCTTGTTTAGCGCGTTTGAATTCTGTGACTGATGATAATGTTAGTCTTAGCACCAGATTTTGCAAATGTTTGGCTTTAAACCATATTTCTTGCAATTGTATAAATGTCAAAATAAATTGCAGTCCCAGACGTGACATCATTTTAACAATCGGGACTATTCAATGATTCTATTTTGAGTGGTAATAGTTGTGAAGAAGTTATTACAAGCACAACTATGACAAAGGTTTTTTTTTTAAATGTTTATAGCCTTTTATTCATGTGGGTATAATGGCACTATGCAAACATATAGAGTATCAGAGTATATCTGTCCTTTAAATAATTATAGATATATACTGGTACACTTAATGTAAAAGTAGGAACATGCAGTGGAATAAAAAAAATAGCAAAAGTGCAGAAAAGGCAGCAGCCTCAAAAGCATGGAATCTCAGAAAAGTCTCTGTAAGTAAATGATTAAGTATTGGATGACATTTTCTGATTACATAAAAACAAAACTCTGGAGCTCTGCCACTTCTAGGCCTCAAATTCTTTGAAAAAGGTTAACCCATATGATTTAAGAAGTGACTGTCTTATCCTTTGAAAAGCAATTGTTGAAAAGGAGTTGCACGATATTCACTGGCAATGTCTATGTGTCACTGCATGTGCAAAATATATGTCAGAATGAGAAATGCAGCATATTTGTGTGTGTGTGATTTTATGTACAATGACTTTCAAATGTCTTCAGACATATTGTAGCATTTTACTGTGCAACACTTTATGTTAAAACATTTATGTAGCGGAGTAGCAGTATAATCCACGGTATCTCCGCTGGTAGTCAGGATAAAGCAGCGTAATAATAATCCCTCTTCCCTAAGGACTAGACGACACATAGTCTGGGATTCAACTGTCATTTTATTCCACGGTCACAGTATTTATGCAAGTCCCCATGCAAGGGGTTTCCTGAATGACATTGCAGGGGTTTTACTACAGAGGACTGTGTGGGGAACTTAGCCTGCAAGGCTGTTTCCCAGCATGCCTTGCTGTACAGGAGAGATAATTGTTCAAGAATGTACTGTTAATCACATTATCTCTCCATACAGCAAAATATACAGTTTTACATAAAAAAAAACACATAACTGATATAATATTCAGCCGAATGCTACACACTGCATATAAAAACAGTTAACAAAATATTCACCCTAAGTGTCCAGAAGTGGCTAGGTTTGCCACAATTTATATTTAAAAACTCCTGATTATCCCCTCCCCCCTTTGGAACGGTGGGGGTTTTCTCGGTCCCCACTGATCGGCGCCACTCATCTCGTTGACCATACGCAGCAGACACAGCTTGGAAATAGACCACAGTGTTGCCCCTCAAAATGATGGACATGCCTCCTACTACTGAGCTCAGGAGACAGCCTGATGTGCAAGCTGAATGTACTGCACTGGACCATATGCCGGCGCGTCTGTATGAAGCCTTCACCCACTTCTGGGCGCAACTTGAGGCCCGAATCACGACTGCATCACATGGCTGGGAAAGGGGATGGAGAGGGAAGGACAAAGGGCTTGTGAGCCACTCTCGGGTGCAACTTCTTACCAAGCAATTAAGATTCCCGTATTGAGCCTGCCTGAGCCGAGAGACACCAGGGATATTCTCCCTAGGCATCACCCACGAAGGCAGACGACCCAACATCGCATGTGGCGAGCATCCCAGGGATTTTGCCGCACCCCGCTGGGGAAGGACTCAGCTGTGAGCCCCTGAGTCCGTAGTATGCAGATGCAGACCCTCAACGCACCCCGGCGCTGGAGGGATGCCACTCTTAGCCCCCTCCTTGGATTGACTCCAGGCCACCCTCATAAGTTCCCGAGCCGAGGTATTGGCTGATGCTGAATTTTATACCCAGGATCCATGGCCTGTTAACCACGGTCTGTCGATCGACAGTCTCCAGTGATTACCCAAGATGTCTTAATTTTAGTCTCATTTTTTGTTTACTATTTGTTTAATGCTTTACCCATGTGTCCTATACAATGCAGTTGTCTACCAGAGGGTAGTCTTAGCAGGGCTATAAATGTATGTCTGACAACCCTATATCATGCCTGCTATAATCACTTTTTGCCTTTACACATACTTAACCCTGGGCATATTATTAAGGCCTACTCCAGTCTGCCCACTACCGGGATAATGTGTGAAACTTCAGTGGTTAACCTCTCAAGTAACCCTAACTTGACATACTGAAATCTCATTTATGTCTAGCTCACCTAACCCTGTGACTTCTCTCTGACTAAATGTTTGCCTATCCTATGTATATAGACATGTTTACCTAGCCTAATTTAACATGCTATATTAATTTTTTTTCTTTAAAAAAAAAAAAAAAAGAAATGAGGCTGCCATATATAGGATTTTGTTCAGCAGTGTGCTGACAATCTTGTAATTATATATACCTGAACTAACTCCTCATCTATTCTGTATGACCTGATAAAAACAGTGACAAAGCCTCATTTATTACCTTTGTTTTAGATGTTGACTCAGACATATCAACACAGCAAGTGGTAGATATTACTATATTCGCCTAGCATGTTTATTTCTATATAATTGGGCAGCTGACTTGTACTCAATAGTTAATCAATAGTTAAGTCTTGTTTGCACTACCTGCAGACATGCTTCTTCTTCTAGCCTGATGCTATTAATACAAAACTGTGCAGTTTCTATGAATGCCATTTTACTGTATACTATTGTTTGATGTTACTGCATTTGTTCGTGCTGTTGTCGCATGGCAAATTTACATGAAATCATTTGCACAACCAAAATAAAGATTTTGTTTTATGTTGAAAACTATTTTAAAGAAAATAAAAAAAATGAAAATATGAATTCTACCAAAAATATTCAACCCCTTTGCTCTGTAAGCTCCATGTTTACACAGCTGGAAAAATGGTCTTAATACAATTGCCTGATTAATGACCTCTACCTTGGAGACAAATTGTATAATTGTTCATAAATTGTAAGGTCATTTGAGCAGGATCTTCTTCATATAATTGTAAAGATCTTTAGATTATGTTGGCACTATATAAATGCTAATAATAATAAATAATAAAGTATTGAGCATTTTTCTTAGTATGAAAGTCCCAATCTGGATAAGGATCACTGGTCAGGTTGCACATTTGATAGAAAGCAATGGTCTCAGTGAGGTACACCAGGGGCAATCCAGGTAGAAAGATCAGGCCAGGCCAAGGGTCTGAGTCAAAACAGTGGTCAGAATATATAATGGAAAACTAAACAGAAATATCATTAAAGCACAGAACAAATGAACAACCTGACAAGTCAGTACTTGTGAAGTATCGTGATGGCAGTGTCATACAGTGGAAATGCTTTTCACCACCAAGACCTGGGAGAACTGAAGGAAAAATGGATGGAAAAAAATAAAGGACAATACTGCAGGAGAACCTTTTTTTACAAATCTTGTTTATTTATTTCCATGCCAGAAAAAAAGAATATAAAACAATACATAAATATTTAGACACAAAAAGTGTAACAGTTTGTCTCTAATCATGGTATATTAGAAGGTTTTTACAATAAATAACTGTAAAGAGTATGGTGATATCTTCAGTAATATAAGATGAACGAATCATTAGAAGGGAAAGAAGACAAGGAAGGGGGAAGACGGGAAAAAGATCGGGCAACATGAGAGTGTAATGGTAGATTGTATGGTTTATAAATCAAATTGCCACTTTAAGTGGATTATTACTAGACTTGTGCATGGTGGCAAAATGTGGTCAGTGGTCGTTTCTTCTAAAAGGGAAAAACAAAAAATAGTTTTGGTTTATTTGGGTTTCGTCCATGCAGCGTTTCAGTTTGGACAAATTTAATTCACGTAGTCATTTCTGGAAAATCTCAGCACAGTTGCTCCACCTCCCTCGCTGAGATCATCAAGAATGATAATTTCAGCCAATCCTTTGCTTACCCATAGGGAAGCATTAGGAGGTTAGCACCTTTAGTGGTCCTTTTAGTAAAGCAATAAAGTGAGACCTGTGAACAGGTAAAAGTTGTCCTATAATCAAGGTGAAAGAGAAACACAAATTTGTGTAAACAATATGTTTAATGATAACAGAGAGTAGAGTTAATGAGAAAATCAGATAAACACAACACAAATGTTACTATACTTGGTGTAACATGCTTTTTGCTGTAATAGGAACCATGGCAATGCAATCATTAATAACAAAAAACAAATGGCATGAAACACACTCACATCATACTAGCAATCGTTTAGAAAACTACAAACACAATTCTAGTTTCACTTTTTGTTTTGTATAGTCTACACATATTCATTTACTAGGATACTGCTGGCAAGCACCAGATTTTGAATGTGGGGATTTTGCATATAGGTTTGTATTCCTAATGCTATAATGTTCCTTTAAGCTGTGGCTAATGGATCCTCTGCAATTAAGCTGCATCTGCATTAACATGTAGAGATCGGTAGCCAGGCTTGGGTAGGTTGAATTTAAAAAATCTAATTTTCTACCATGCGGCTACCCACAGTGTGTGGGGGTCTGCGAGTACCAGGTATCAGGAGGTACTACCATGCCACCATAATTTCTTAACTATGCTGCTTTCAAGAGTGAAGCTGCTGTGGCTTCAGCTGGAGGACTTCTATGCAGCTTCTTATTAGTTAATGTAGGCTCCCACACTTAGATGTTTGCAAGTTGGCTCTCTGTTCCAGACCACATTGGTCTACCTGCAGTATGGCACAGGTGGATTGGCAAACTACTGGACCCCATAGCACCTCTGGGGGCTCTGCGATTGCACACCTCGAATCTGAATATAAGGCTGTGGGTGAGTAGCAACAGTTCAGCAGCTGTTGAATGATGGCTGCATTAGGCAGTTTACGGATTTCCAAAGAGAATTTACTTTGCCCAATATGAAATTATTTACCTACTTAAGTATAAAAATATACTGAATATAATGGGCAAAGGTAGTGGAACCTGAGGCTATGTCACATTGCTTTGGGGTTCTCGTGATTTAAAGGGACACTATAGTTACCCAGACCACTTCAGCTTAATAACGTGGTCTGGGTGCCAGGTCCCTCAGGTTTTAACCCTTCAGATGCAAACATAGCAGTTTCATAGAAACTGCTATGTTTACATATGGGGTTAATCCAGCCTCTAGTGGCTGTCTTCCGGACAGAATAATAAACTCCCTGCTAAGTTATGGAAAGGTATGGTTGACCTGGGACAGTGCTATTCACACGCTTTCTGGTGCTCAGTAACACGATTGTGGATAAGTTGATAAGCAAGGTGAGAGGAGCCAGTTTGGTATGTTGCATGGTGGGTGGCTGTGGGAAGGGGGGGCAGGGAGGGCGGTGATGTATATAAAGAATACTGCATATGTGCTGTGATGCTGACGGAACAAAAATAAAGTTATGTTATTTTACTTTTTCATTTTCCTTCCTGTAATTAAGCAAAATTTTATGAAAAATGACAATAAAAAAACTTAGACATTCAAAACAAAATGCAATTTTTGCAACTAAATCTGTTGAGGATGTTACCAGAAACTGAGAATACTCTCTCACTTGAAACACTTGTGGGTGACTATGAGAGCAATTTGTGCACCACCAACCAAAGTCCTTTTTTTAAATTTCCACTAAGTAAAAGGTTCTGATGATGTGCTTCAACCATTTCAGAGGTTCTAATCTGGGAGCTACAAGGAGCTTCTTGTCACTTGTTACTTCCTGGGCGATCCAATCCAATGGTCCTGATAGAGGAGCATTGGGGACAAAAGGCTTGTGCATGCGTCCAATCATTCTCATAGAAAATAATTGCATTTAATTCAATTGCTGATGTTTGATGCTCTGGCATGACTGAGTTTCACTTGGTTGTTACACAAGTAGCGCCCATAGTGGCTGTCTGGAAGACAACCATTAGAGGTTTATTTAACCTTGCAATAGAATCATTACAGTTTCTA